GGACCAGATTACCTCAGGGTGGGGCTGGGGAGATAGCTCAGTAGAATAAGCGCTTGCCTGACAAGCTCAAGGTCTTGAGTTCAATCCCCAGTACTGCAAAAAAAAAAAAAAAAAAAAAAAAAAAAAAAAAAAAAAAGATTACCTCAGGGCTATAACAATTCACCAACCCTGTTTGATGAGGCACTGAGCAGAGGCTTGCTGAATTTCTGGGGAAAACATCTCCCAAGTAACTGTGTTACAATATGTTGAAGACATACTGTTGGCTTCTAAGACCTATGACTTGTATAAAGAGGCAACTGAGGACCTGCTGTGAGAACTGGATAAAATGGGCTACAGAGTCTCTGCCAAAAAGGCTCACCTTTCCATATCTCAGGTAACATATTTGGGCTATAGACTACAGGAAGGACAACAAACTCTGTCAAATAAATGGATTAAAACTATATTAAACCAAGGAGAAAAGTGATCGATGATGTAGAGTGTGCCTAAGGAGAGTCACATGGAGAGAAAACATTCTCTCAGGCTTTCACAGAGAGCACATTGGCCAAACAATGGCCGTGACTCATCCACATGGCTGACACTGACAAAGGTTCTACAATCTGAGGTACAGGATCTCAGGATAAATCCTGAGGGGATTTCACTGACCTTATCAGACCCAAAAGCTACAACTCTTGTTGCATAGGTCCTGCTTTACCTTGGTCTTAATCATCCAGCAGAAAAGTATAAAAATGAAATATAAGACGTAAAGCCATGCTGTTATGTTGAGCTATAGGGGACTCAGGTCAACAATTTCTGACATTGCCAGTGAAGCCGAAGACCCAATACTATTATGGGCTACTGGAATCTTTTAGAATATTTTACTAAATTTACACACCTATAATATTCAAATAACGGAACTTAACAAAAAAAGGGGATACAGATGAATGTCCATTTTGTATCTGTGTATTCAAAGTGGTTAGGATAGATATATAGTTACATTCTCTTAGTGAATAGAGGGATTTGTTCTAATGGTGTTTGTAAATAGGATAGTATGTCTGCATCTTGTACAGCAATTAACCACTAGGAAGAATGTATGCAATGTGTGAATTATTGAAACTGTCCTACCAATTTGATTTGAAACTGTCTCATTGCTATTTGTTTATCAATAAAATTATGCGAAAAAAGAAAAAAACTATATTAAAAATCCCTGTCCCTACCACCAAATGACAGGTAAGACAATTTCTGAGGCTCCTTGGATATTGCAGGCTGTGGATCATAAGATTTGCTAAAATTTCCCAGCCTCTGCATGCCAGCAATGATGGGGACCAAAAAGAAAAACTCTATTAAAGTAAATATAAACAAGAGGCTTTTGAGGCTCTAAAGAAAGCCCTTGCTTAGGTTCCTGCCCTGGCTCTGCCTGATCTGACAAAACCATTCCAGCTCTATGTACATGAAAACAAGAGCATCACTAAAGGGGTCCTAACCAATAATTGGGGCCCTAAAAAAGACCTATAGCATACCTGTCTAAGAGACTAGACCCCACTGCAGCAGGTTGGCCAAATTGCCTGCGAGCTATAGCCACCACTGCCATTTTGACAAAAAAAGCTACTAAGCTCACATTTGGCCAGGAGCTCCAAATCGTGGCTCCTCACGTGGTTGAAAGCCTTCTTAGAAGCCCCCTGACAGATGGATCTCAAATACATGGATTGTACAATTTCAAGCTTTGCTCTTAGACCCAGCCCATATTAAGTTCTTGTCCACTACAGCCTTAAACCCAGCCACCGTGTTACCCAATGATGACCCTGAGGCCCCGCTCCATGACTGTCTTGAAGTGCTTGATACAAAAACAAGCCTGAGAGAGGACCTCACAGACGTTCCTATAGATGAACCTGATGCTACCTTATACATCGATGGAAGCAGTTTTGTCCTAAATGGGATACGTTATGCTGGGGCAGCAGTGGTCACAAAAGACCAAGTGAGCTGGGCCCAAGCCTTAGGACATGGGACATCTGCCCAACAGGCAGAGCTCATTGCCTTAACCCAGGCCCTCCGCTGGGGACAAAATAAGCAGGTGAACATCTACACTGGCAGCAGGTATGCTTTTGCTACCCTACAGGTACATGGAGCTATTTATCAGGAATAAGGTCTATTAACCACAGGTGGACATAAGATTAAAAAATACCCAAGAGATCCTAGACTTGCTTACAGCCATGTGGCTCCCCAAAAAAGTGGCAGTTATCCACTGCCAGGGACACAAGAAGGTAAACTCTCCAGTGGCCCAAGGAAATGCTCTGGCAGGTGCCACAGCCAAGGAAGTGGCACAAAAACCAGTGGGGTCACTCAAGGCACTCTTGCCTGTCCTGCCACCCAGAGTGCTGGATCAGCCCACTTACTCTGATACAGATCTTTTGTTGGCTAAAAGCTTAAACACCACACTAACACAGGATGGCTGGCAAATGCTGCTGGACAGCAGGATTCTCCTTCCTGAGGCACAACGCTGAGAGCTCATTTCAACAGATACACCAAGAGATTCACTTGGGAGAAAATAAATTGGCAAAACTGTTATGGAAATCCTACTTCATACCCAAACTGAATCAAATGAATAAGGAAACCAGCCAAAGGTGTCTCCACTGTGCCCAAGTAAACCCCAACAAGATTACTTCTAAACCTAGACAGCGCGCTAGAGGTATGTCTCCTAGAAAACACTAGGAAATTGATTTCACTAAAATGGGTTCAAAAAAAGGAGGATATCGCTACCTCCTTGTTTTAGTGGATACTTTTACTGGATGGACAGAGGCCTATGCCACCCGATAAGAGTCAGCTCTGCTAGTGACAAAGAAGTTATTGACAGAGATTATTCCCAGATTTGGCCTGCCCATTACTATGGGGTCCGACATGGTCCTGCTTTTATAGCCCAGGTTACCAAAAGTCTGTCCCAGGCTCTAAAATGAAAATAAAAGCTACTATATATATATATATATATATATATATATATATATATTTCTCAGAGCTCAGGTCAGGTAAAAAAAATAAATTGGACTCTAAAAAAAACCATTTCAAAACTAGGGTTAGAGACTGGCAAAAACTGGGTGAGTCTCCTTCCTTTTGCTTTATTGTGAGCCCTCTGTACTCCCTATGTACACAGGATCACTCCCTTTAAAACTATATATGGTCGGGCACGTCCCTTAATTCCCAAGCTAGGGGAGAAAATCCTAACATCCATTTCTAATCAGGAACTTGTTAAGTCCTTGCAGGCTCTACAGTCTACAGGCTACACACTCCCTCTTCCACTGTCAACATCCAAGACCAAAACAACTTGACAGTCCACTGGCTGCAGAACCTGGCTCTCTGGTATAGATAAGGTTTGTGGAATGGACTTTGGAGGAATTCCCAGGTATGTTTTGCAGCAAGCTTACTTTAGGCTCTTGCTAACACCACAAGTCTCCTTTTGTAGAAGAAAATGCACACACACATACCCCAGCCACCAGTATACCTGTTTATTAATTGCCCAGGTAACAGTTTCTGTTCCAGTTCAGGTTGCTCCTGTCTCTTAGAAACAGCAGGTCACTACGATGCACATTATATAAACCAGTCCCCAATTGATAAGCCATTCTGCCTCTGTATTTTCTGTTTATCTATTGTGCACAAACCCTAGACCACCAGAAATTGGGGCCTGGTGTTCTGGGAATGATTCCAATCAGTGTTTGTTGATGTAAACAAATCTGCTTCCATGGCAACAAGGAAAATAGCTACAGAATATACACAAAAAAGAAAAAAGCTATATAGAAAACAAGTAATAAAATGACTGACGCCCCTTATCTGCATTACTTCAAATATAAGTCAGCTAAACATTCTCATGAAAACAGAGTGGCAGATTGGATTTTAAAATGATCCAACTATATGCTGTGTACAAGAGCACCACTAGCTCCAAAGACATAAGTGGAATGAAGGCAACAGAACCTAAAACTTTGCATCCAGACAGCACCAAGAGAGACCAGGGTGGTTATTGCAAGGCAAGACAAAACAGACTTTACACAGAAGTTACAAAAGACCAGGATAGACATTATGTGTTAATCAAGTTTCAGTACAATAAAACTAAGAATTATACGTATTCGGTGAATATCAGAAGAGATAGTTTCATAGTATTGGTAGTACCTCTGCCCACAATAAGAGGCGGAAACCAAGAAACAGAACAACACAATAAACGCGCTAGATTTGGAAACTGGAGAACTGCACACACGCCGCGCGGACGTCCCCAAGGCGGACCGCGCAGAGAGCCAAGCGGCAGGCGCCGCCAGCGCCCGCGGCAAGGCCGCCTCCCTCGGTCGCCGCAGCCAGCGGCCACTGCTCCTCCGCGGCTCCACCCTCGGCGGAGCTGGTGCTGTCACCGTCCTGTCGCTGCGGGTGTCTCTCACTCCGCGCAAGTCGACAGTCAGGTTTAGCCCGCACAGCCTCAAGCTAGTAAGCAGAATGAATCAGTAACACCCCACCAACCAAGACTTCAGAAAGGACGCAGGTGTATAGTGTATATAGTTGAACCGATTTCACAATCTTTCAAAGCCCGTAAACAGATATCAAAACTAGAGGTGCAAGAGTTTTAACTGGAATTGCGACAGCATTCACAGCAACAAAACTGAGAACGGAGGAGACGGCTCCTGGGTTTGTAACCTCTGGCAGAGGAGGCGCGAAGAGAACTATTGACGGTCTTCCAAGAGCTATCCTTCGTCTATTTCCATCAGGGCCGTTATGCCAAGAATATCCTGGCATTGCAAGGGGCAGTCCTAGCTCTATAATTAAATTCACTCATGCAACAACAAACAAACGTGACAAAAGGAGACTAGAGGGCTAGGCCGGGGTTGGGGTGGTGAAGGTTAGCCCTGCGCGTACCCCCAGACCCAGGAGCGGACGCCGCGGCGCGGAACCTTCCACCGCAGGGAGCCCGCGCTCTGGGCGGACGGAAGTGGGCAGGGGACACGGGGGCACTTCCGGCGCGGACGCGCGCAGCACTTCCGGGTCGACCCAGCTTCCCGCCGCCATTGGGGAGCCTGAGCTACAGGTTCGTAGCCTGCTGTGGCCGGGCCTCGCCGCAGCCTCTGGACGCCGCGCAGGATGGTGAGGAGCGGCTGCAGGCAGGGGGACCGGGGCCAAAGCCGGGAATAGACCGGAAGGGCGCGCGACTCGGGCTGCGGTGCCTTTGTGCGTGGGCCAGGCGTTCCTTGCGGACCGCAGGTTATTCCCGCTTTCCCTCCTCCCGCCGCCTAGCTCTGCTGAATCGCTGTTTAAGTCAGCTGGGCGGCCCGGAGGACAGGAAGGGGCCCCTCTAGGTCCAGAGTCTGAAGAAGGCAGATGTCCAGCACCGTGGCGCACTCCGGCCTGAGGCGGAGACCTCGCTCGGGTCCTGTTGCCCTAGCAGGCGCTCAGGTGCTCCGAGGTCTCCTCTAGAAAAACGCCAGCGGAGGGCTTGTGTCGGTTAGGGTGCTGTTAAACAGAAAGGGCAGCAAGCAGACTTGGAGGCGTGGACACGTCGGCGGCGCCTTGCGGGTGGGAGTGACGAGTAGTGGTGGCTTAGTAGTTTTCCCCAGTTGGAAAGTTAGGGTGACCCAGTGACCCAGCAGTTGCGTCCCTAATGGGGGACAATCAGTGGTTGTCAGGAAAACAACTTGCAGTGAAATTATTTTAAGGGCCAGTGTGATGGTGGATGTATGATGCTTTACATGTGTCCAAACCCGCAGACCTCTGCGACTTGAACAGTGACTTATTATGTGAACTGTGGACTTCATAGGCCACTGTTAGCTCACCCCTTACTACAAATGAGCCACACTAATTAACGTTAGGTGTTTTGTTTTTTTTTTTAAGTTCTGGTTCCTCTTTCTTTTTTTTTTTTTTAATATTTATTAATCTATTTTGTGTATGTGTAGCCACCTCAGCCCACCAGGGGGCGGGGCTGGCTGGCATGTGGTGTTGGGGGATTGAACCGCAGTCCCTGTGCTTTGCTTAGCTTAGCTTGTTCCAAGTAGGTGCTTTAGACCACTGAGCCATCTCACCAGCCCCAACGTTAGGTGTTAATAATGGGAAAAATAGAAGAGATTGTGTAAAAAAAAAAAATGGGAAAGAACTCTAATTTTTGTTCAGTTTCCTTAGAACTACGCCCAAAATAAACTTCACTAATTTATAAAAATGAGACATGATGAAAAATGCTAATGGATATATAAACAGAACCCAGTTAACTTTAAACTTGCTTTTCCTAAAGAATTTTAGGGGCCAGGGAGATGGCTCAGTAGGATAAGCGCTTGACTGGCAAACTGTTCAATCCCTGATTCCGCAAAAAAAAAAAAAAAAAAAAAGAATTTTAGTGTAAAGAACTGTGTATCTTTGAATGCAGTTTAAAAGATGATCAGTGATACCAGACCTTTAGGAAGAGAGATTGAACAGGAAAAGATGAGATACCTTATGTCATAGCTTTGCACTGAATGCTGGGTGATGGGCCAGCAGAGCACCAGTGATTAGAGCTTGTTTTAAGGGACACGATGTAAATCTAATTGTGAAAAGTAGGATGAAAAATTTGTTAACCTGGACAATTAGAGTTACTTTTACAGTGTTAAGAGCTCTGAATTTTGAAAAATATTGCTAGAGTATCGAAACTTTAGCTTTTTATCAAGATGTTGCTGAAGGCGAAGAAGGAATTCCCTGCTCCTCCCAAAGCTGAAACCAAAGCAAAAGCTTTGAAGGCCAAGAAGACTGTGCTGAAAGGTGTCCACAGCCACAAAAAGAATATATGAACGTCATCCACCTTCCGCCATCCCAAGACACTGCGGCTCCAGAGGCAGCCCAAATACCCTCAGAAGAGTGCCCACACGAGAAGCAAGCTTGACCACTATGCCATTATCAAGTTCCCCCTGACCACAGAGGCAGCCATGAAAAAGATCAAGGACCATACACTTGTGTTCATTGTGGATGTCAAAGTCATTAAGCACCAAATCAAACAAGATGTAAAGAAGCTCTATGACATCTGTTGCCAAGGTCACTACCCTAATCAGGCCTGATGGAGAGAAGAAGGCATATGTTCACCTGGCTCCCGATTATGATGCATTGGATGTTGCCAACAAAATTGGGATCATCTAAACTGAGTCCAGCTGGCTAATTCTAAATATATGCTTTTTTCCCTCAGTAAAAAAGAAAAGAGAAAAGAAACTTTAAAGAATGAAAAGTGTGTAGCCTTTATTTGGAAGCTGGATTCTAGACTCCTATGACTCCTTCATCATTGTACCAGAGATCCAGAATCAGAAATTACTAGTCTTATGTGCTTTCTCTGGCCTGTTGGTCTTAGATGAGTTATGTCTGTCTTTCAGCATCAGTTTTCTTCATTGTGAAATGAAGAAATTGGATACAAGTCCTTTCATGTCTTTTCTGGTCCAGTACAGATTATTGGCTTCTAGTTACGATGTTATTGACAAAGTAATGTGTTCCAGTTTATGATGGAGTGGTTTGTAAAACTGATGAGCTGAAGAAATCTCTTCTATTGGCTTCCATTTAGTGATTTTGGAACAGCTCCTATTTTAATATTTTTTCCCTTCTGAAGTAAAGTATTTACACTCAAATGACTTGCTTTTAAAACACTGCCTGTCATTGTGTTTTAAATGCGACTCTTGGGTCTTTTGTAGTTTGCTAGAAACTCACATCCTTCCTGCCCAGAGCTAGAAACAGAAGTATCTGGAGACTCAGATACTCTGTTCAGTGCAGAAGGTGGGTCATAGTCTTGTATTTATCCAGTTGACATGTGGACTCTAAATGGTAAAGGCTTATCTTACTGCTTTTGGCCCATTGAACTGGCTTTCCAAGATCTTTCTAAATTGCAGTGTGTTTGATCGTGATGTACTAGAAAGAACCTGGGTGAAAGCAGGAAAAGAAGAGGCACTCACAGCCCGGTCCATTCACCCCTGACTTGAAACATCACCATCCTGCCTCGTAGCAAAGTTCTCTTCTTTTTTGCCTTGGTGCTGTTGATTGTATTGTTCCTTTCCCAAGCGTATGTTGATAGCATCAGTAACAAAATGTCAGCCACTATTAATATATGTAGTTGTACTAGAAGCTGTCTGGATTGCTCATCAGAAAAGCAGAAATGTAAGTCAGTATACCCTAAAACTGCATCAGCTGAAGTTAGATGATGAGTTTGAGAAGTCTAGTTATATGCATGTGCATAATTCTATAGTTCAGTATGATATGAAGTTGGATATGTATAGTACCTACTGCAGGCATTGTTGTTCTTTCTGTGAAGTATATGCACAGGCCTATTGGATTTGGCCATTACCATTGGAGGGGATCCCCATGGTAAGGGAAACAGCTCTATTACGTGGTCAAGATTATCACAGAAATGTAATTTTAATTTCCTTTCCTTTGTTTTTTTCAGGTTTAGCTTCTCATCTTTGTCCTGTTGTAGGCTGTTTTCTGTGTATTGGTCAAAAGGCCATGTAGATAACTTGTCCTTTGAAGACCACTTTTACAGTATCTGATAAGACAGCTGGTAAGTCTAGCAGGAAAAAGTACATTGGGGTTTGTTTCTTCTCCACTCTAAAAGCATTTTGTCTAGAATTTATAGTATTTTTGCATTACTATTTCTGCGTATGTGCTTTTTGCTTACTTAATACTTTGCATTTTTTAATGTTAAAGAAAATCTTGTGATTGAAGAATTTTTGACAAGTACTTAGAGTTCTTTTTATTTATTTATTTATTTATTTTTATTTTTGGTACTGGAGAATGTTGCCCTTGACAGGCAGGTGCATAAGCTATCTCCCTGTCCTGTGCTTAGAATTCTTGAAGAAAAATTATAAAAATGTGTGCTCATCTCTTGCACATGAGTATTTATGGTGTGCTAAATACACATCTTGTAGAATTTGTACATTCTAGAGTGTGTGATGGTGTGGTAGATATACATATCTGTGGTAGGATTTGTAATGTGAAGAGTGAACTCTGTTTGAGAAACTTTAATAAAATGTTGTGTGAGTATAATGATGAAAATTGGTAGGCAGGGGGCCAGGGAGATGGCTCAGTAGGATAAGCGCTTCCCTGGCAAGCGCAAGGGCCTGAGTTCAATCCCTGGTTATGCCAAAAAAAAAATAAAAAAATAAAAAAACAAAAACTCCAAACTATATTTGGGGCTGGTGAGATGGCTCAGTGGTCTAAAGCACCTACTTAGAACAAGCTTAGCAAAGCACAGGGACCACGGTTCAATCCCCCAGCACCACATGCCAGCCAGCCCCGCCCCCTGGTGGGCTGAGCTGGCCACACACACACACAAATAAATAATTTTTTTTTTTTTTATGGTTGAACCGGCGATTGAACTCAGGCTCTTGAGCTTTACAGGGAAGCGCTTCTTCCACTGAGCCATCTCCCCGGCCCCTAAATAAATAAAATTTAAAAAAAAAGAAAAGAAAAAAGAAAATTGGTAGGCAGGTATAGATGGTAGAATTGGGGATGGCCAGAGGAGGTGGTGGTGGGTAGATGGGAGGACAAGAAGACTTCCCTGTGGTATGATGTTCACTTGATACATAACATGATGCCTCTTTTGAGCAGCCCGTGGCTATTCATCATAGCCACCATGGACGGAAGATTTTTGAGATGGAGCCTCTGAAGTTACCTAGTTTTACTGAATGAACACTACATTCTGAGGTGGTTAAACATTATATTTGCTTTTTTGTTTTTCTTTATGTTGGCAAGTTAAAGATCATCTTAGAGATTTTTCTCTACTGCTAAATTAGTGCATTCCCTCCCAGGTTAGGGTCTTTTTAGCCTTAGAAAGAATTTTTTAAAAGCATAATTGTGTAATTCAGGAGTTAATGCTTCTGAATAAAAGTATTTGTTTTCCTATACTATCACCTTCTTTTCCTTAGAAAAACAATAAAACCAGAACAAACAGGACACCATTCATACAGGTAATGCAAAACAACACTATTAATAGTAATAACTTTAATTCAATTTTTCAGAAATAAAAATGCTACTAATTTTTTCTGGGAAGCTTAGTTGTTTTTTTTTTTTTGGCAGAACCGGGGATTGAACTCAGACCCTTGCGCTTGCCAGGGAAGCACTTATTGTACTGAGCCATGTCCCCAGTCCCACTAATTTTTTTTCTAATTAGTGTTTTTCAAGTTAGTAAATGGTGACGTTGTGGTTATAGGTGTTTTGCTTTGTGCTGTTTTCTGAGGCTCAGCCCCATGAAGTGGACGCACCTTGTAAGCAGCAGAGTGCGGAGCATTTGCACACACTCAGCAGCAGCTGGTTCTGCTGTTAAATGATGGCATGTTCTTTATTGATTTTGTGGTACTAGGGATTAAACTCAGGGCCTTCCGTGTGCTAGGCAAGTGCTGTACCCCTGGGCTATATCCCAGTGCTTTTACTTTGAGACAGGATCTTACTTAGTTGCTCAAACTAGCCTGAATTTACAATCCTGCCTCCATCTCCAGAGTAGCTGGGATTACAATTGTGTGCACCTGCAGCTGGCTGGCATGTTTTTTTTTTTTTTTTTTTTTTTTGTTTGCAGAACCAGGATTTGAACTCAGGCCCGTGCGCTTGCCAGGCAAACACTTATTCTACTGAGCCATCTCCCTGGCCTCTGGCATGTCTTTAATGAGAAAAGATACGTATTTTTAGACATAGGATCCTCTTTGCCCAGACTGGCCTTGAATCCTGGGCTGAAGTGATCATTGTGCCTCATTCTGAGTAGCTGGGCCTACAGTGACCACCACTGTGCTTGGATATTAATGAGGAAGGATTTTGTGATGCACTTGGTGAATAGACTTACTGTATATGTTTATTACAGAATGTGTTTATCAGTTGCTGGACCTCATGCTGAGAATAGCATGCCAAGACAGAAGTCTGTACTAATGGGAAAGAGAGAACAGGAGAGTCAGGATGTAGTTATACATGAAATTTAGTGAATACTGAATGGAATGTTAATACAGGTAAAGAAAAGGGTTGTGTAATCTGTGTTCCTCAGATGTTAATTTGGGGTGAAAAATTAGGCTGCATTCTAACCTGCTTATATCAAATGGATTAAAGATACAAATGGAATGGGCTGGGATATGAACAGTGGTAGAGCACTGGCTACTATGCATAGGGCCCTAGATTTGAGTCCCAGAACCCTCCCCCCACACACATATAAAAAAATAACCTTGAGGAGAAACTTAAGATTTTTAGAGTCGGCGAGATAGCTCAGCAGATTAAAGCGCCTGCTTAGGCACGTGCTCAAGGACTGTGCTTTGATCCCCAGTACCACATGCTGTGCTGGTTCTGCTTCCAGGGTGGGCTGAGTCAGCCACACACACAAAAAAAAGATTTTTAAAAAAATATAAGCATAATTTTAAACCTAGAGTTATAGGGAAAATAGTTGTAAGTTTAAAACTTTCCTGTAAGCCAATTGTATATAAAGCTATAAAGAGACAAATGATTGGAAAGATTCTCACCCTGAGTAACTATATATACTGATATCTGTGAACTAAGCTACTGCACTGCAGATGGTAATTTGTAATAGTGGTTTCATATTGGGAGCACCTGTCATTGTGGTA